CCTTACCTGATGGACTAAACAGGAATCAGACTAATAACATCTGTAGGAAGAGTTGATGGTGCACCTCAGTTGTTTGTTGTTATGTGCAATGGAGTCACCTGTGACTCATAACGACCCTATGTACAATAGCCCTAAACCCTGCTCTATCCTGTGCCAGTCTCACTGTCTCCAACACACTTACCCCCACTACCCCAATCACTGAATCAATCCACCTCATAGAGGGTCTTCCTCTCCTGCACTGTCCCTCTACCCTCCCAAGCATGCTTTCCCTCTCCAAGGACTGGTCCCTCCTTGCAACATGCCCAAAGTATGTCAGAGAAAGCTTCAGAATCCTTACCTCCAAGAGCAGCCTGGTTTAACCCTCTCTAGTATGAACCTGTTTCTTTTCTTAGCAGTCCATGGTATGTTCAGTACTTTACTCCAACACCGCAGCTCAAAAGCATCAATTCTAAAAAAAAATTAAAATTTTTTTTTTTTAAAAAGCATCAATTCTTCTATCTTTGTTCAGCTCTCTGATGCATAGCAAGTGATTGCAAAGACCATGGCCTGTTTCAGGCACACCTTAGTCTCCCGAGTGACATCATTGTTCTTCAGTACTTTGGAGAGGTCTCTAACAGCAGACTTTCCCATCACAATATGTCTTAATTTCCTGGCTGCTGATGCCAAGAGTGTTGATTGTGGAGCTAAGCAAAATAAAGCTGTTAGCAATCTCAATCTCTTCACCATCTATCATGATGCTGCCAGTTGACCCAGTGATGAAAATCTTTGTTTTCTTGATATTGAGCCTCAATCCATATTTAAGGCTGCAGTCTTGATCTTCTGCAGCAAGCGCTATAGGTCCTCCTCAGTTTCAACAACGAGGATTGTGTCATCTGCGTAACGCAGATTGTTGATGGATCTTCCTCCAATCCTGATGCCACAATTCTCCTCATAGAGCCCAGCCTCCTGGATAATCTGTTCTGCATATAGATTGAAAAGGCATGGAGATAGGACACATCCCTGGCATACACACTTCCCAGTTTTGAACCAAGCCATTTTCCTTGCTCTGTTCTGATGGCTGCCTCCTGGTTCAAGTACAGGTTTTGCATTAGCACAATCAAGTGTTCTGGGTATCCCATTCTTCTCAGAGTCAGCCACAGTTTGTTGTGATCCACACAGTCAAACGCCTTTGCATAATCAATGAAACACAGATAGATAGCTCCATAGTAGCAGTTAAAAAAGGGCAAGGGGCTGAATGAGGAAGAGCTCATCACTTAGTCATGTGCAGGTTTAAAATGACGTTGAAGAAATCAATGATAATGAAGAATTTCAGATTGCCCTGAAGACAATGGCAAAAACCAAGGCCCAGAAAATGATGGAAACCAATTGACATATTTCAACAAACAGATGGAATCCTGGACATGCTCACTTTCCTGAAGACTGAAAGAGATCCGTATTTGTTCCCATTCAAAAAAGATGACCTAACATTATGTATACATTATCAAACAATATAATATGCAGGTAAAATCTTGCTGAAGATTATTTAAAAATTCCTGAAACAGTGTTATCAGTAGAGAAATTCCAGAAATTCATACTGGTGTCAGAAGAGGCCATGGCATGAGGAATATCACTGCTGATGTCATATGGATTTTGGCTGAAAGCAAAGAATACAGGAAAGAGTTTTACATGTATTTTATTCACTATGCAAAGGCATTTAATAAATAAAGGTAGATCATAAAAATTATGAGTAACAATAAAGGTGCTCTTTAGAGGCAAGGGTGTGGTGAAACTTTGAAAAGAATGTGAATCTCAGAACACTTCATTGTATTTATGTGAAACTTATACATAGAACAAGAAGCTATTGTCTGAACAGAACAAGGGAAGCTTGTAGAGTTTAAAATCAGGAAAGAAGTGTGTCAGGGTTGTATCCTTTCTCCAAACCTTTTTAGTATGTATGCTGAGAAAATTGTTTGGGAAGCTAGACAATGTGAAGAAGAGTGAGGCATTAGGATTGGAGGAATACTTATCAGCCAACTTTGTTATGAGTATTACACAATTTTACAGAAAGTAGAAAGGGCCTATAACACTTGTTGAAGATCAAAGACTACAGCCTTCACTATGGACTATGTCTCAAAATCAAGAAAACAAATCCACTCCAGTAAACCAATAAGCAATATAAATGGAAAAAGAATTGACGTTTTCAACAATTTCATTTTACTTTGATCCACAATCAACACGAGTGGTAATAGTAGTCAGGAAATCAAAATGTGTTGCCTTGGGAAAATACACTATCAAATACCTAAAAAATTACTAGAGAGCAGTGATATAAGTTTAAAGATTAAGAGGTCCCTCTTATGTCTAGAATTTATAAAATACTTGAGCACCACAATAAGATAAAGTTAAACAACCCAATTGAACAATGGACACAGAATTTGAACAGACACTTCACCAAAGAATACATTCAAATGGCAAACAAACACATGAAGGAATGTTCAAAATCTCTAGCTCTAAGAGAAATGCAAGTGAAAACAACTATGAGTTATCATCTCACACCAGTAAAAATAGCAAAATTTAACAGAACAGCAAACAACAAATGCTGGTGAGGTTGTAGAGAAACTGGAACCCTTATTCAGTGCTAGTGGGAGTGTAAAATGGTGCAACCACTATGGAGGGCTGTATGATGCTTTCTCAAAAAGTTGCAAGTAGAAATACCATTTGGCCCAGCAATTCCACTACTAGGAATATATCCTAAAGAAACCGTAGCAGCCACCCAAGCAGATATATGCACACCCATGTTTATCACAGCTTTGTTCACAATAGAAAAGAGTTGGAAACAACCTAAGTTAACAAATGAATGGGTAGAAAAGCGGTGGTATGTTCACACAATGGAATATTACACTGCATTGAAAAACAAAGAGCTCATGAAACATTATACAAAATGGGTCACCCTGAAGGACATTATGCTGAGTGAAATATCTCAATCACAAAAGGACAAATACTGCATAGTGCCACTGTTGTAAAATGGGACTGACACTGAGATTGAGGGAAGACTGAGAAAGATGGAATAAATTATGTATACTGCATCAAAACAGATGAGGGAGACAACTGTTTAAAAGGGATATTTGATTAGGTATTATTGTCATGACAGGATTCCAGAACGAAGGCTGCATAGTGGAGTAGACTTGAGGGGAAGGCTGCATAGTGGAGTGGACTTGAGGGGAGAGATTGTATAGCAATGAAAGAATTTTTCTTTTACTTTTCAAAGAGAAGAGTGAACTGGTGGGGAAGGGTGGGCAGGGAGAAAAGTACAATGATGAATGAATGTAAATCCAAAGTTTCTGTAAATTTTCATTAAAATGAATAATAATAGTAAAACAAAAAAAAGAAGGGATAAAAAAACTCAAAAAGACTAATAGGTCCCTGTCAGCACACTTTCTCCAGTAAAATGTTATCTTTTGGTTTCCTGACTACTGATACCACGGTTTCTGTTGGTGATCCAAGTAAGATGAAATTGTTGACAATTTCTATCTCTTCTCCATCTATCATGATGTTACCCATTGGCCCAGTGGTGAGGATTTTTGTTTTCTTGATGAGATGTAACCAATTTTGAAGGCTGTAGTCTTTGAACATCTGGAGGTAGTGTTGCAAGCCTTCCTAAGAGCAAATCACATGGGAGGAGATTGCACATCTTGCTCCTGTTGAGCCACTAGTAGATTCCAGCCACCAGAGAGATGTGGCCTTTGGGTTAACAGTACAATTCCTTATAGACTTGGCTGGTCACTGTGTCCATAGCAAGAAGTAAGATGCTGTGACTGTGAGTCTAATTGGAGGATGTTGAGAGTGAATATAAGCTAAGGAAATAGAACAAGTATAAACAATTCCTTTGAAAATTTCGCTGTGAAGGAGGAGAAAGAAGCCAAATGGAGATGTGAGGAGACTGAGAGGGTTTGCTTTATTTTTATATAAGCATAGATGCTAATGGAAAGGGCTCAGTTGAGAGGAAGAGGTTGAAGATACAAGAGATAAAATCAATGTAGAGTAATAGTTCCTGTAAAGGCAGGAAGAAATGAGATCCAAAGTAAAATAGGCTTGTGGGTAGACATTTTATAGAATGTTGTTTCTATGAGAGAAAAAAAAATGCCATTTACAAATAAATGACTTACAAATGATCCTTTTTCTTACTGCCATTTCATTAGTTTAAGACTTGAAGTTGGAAGCAGAAATGGCATCCATATCTCTGGAAGCTCTATGAACTTGGAGAAACGGCAATCGTTGTAGAATGGATTTCAGGTCTTTTGTTCATGGGGTCACTATGAGTCGCTCTTGACTCAATGGCTTTTAACAACAGCAAGACATGAAGAGGTGTTGAATTTACTAGTCATTTCCCAAAATAAAAAAGGGATTTAGAGTAACAGTAGATTTTGAGAGCTCCAGTCTAGAATCTCACACAGAAATATTAGTTGAATTGAGTTAATTATTCAGAACTTCACCTATAAAATTAAGCATTTTCATAAGCTTGGGAAGCATTTGGGAATGTATTGTGGAGTATTTTGGATGCCATACATTTGTGTACCACTAGTGTTTAATGTCCAGGACCAGTGATATCAGTTGTCTTGTAATGAACAGGTCAGTTTATCACAACAAATAATTGTTCTGCCTAAAGCCCAGAGAGCTCCTGAGCCACTGGATGACCGCTGAGAGTCTTTCTAGCTCTAAAGACAAAAATAGCTAAGGAGTTACAGTGAGTTAATTGAGCCTTTTCTAATCTTGTACAAATCTTAGGAACAACTCTAATTTTTTTCTGTGCATGGTCATTTTGGCTAATTGTTGATGATTTAGCAAGTTGAGGTTGGTTTGTTTTTTGGGTTTCTTTTTGTTGTTTTTTTTTTTTTTACTGAGTTGCTGTTTAAGCAAACGATTCTTTGCTTTATTTTTTTTTTAACTGAGTTGCTGCTACCTTTTGCTAAGACTGAGAAATAATGAAGTATACATTTGACTTATCTCTTTCTCTTGTACTCTAGGTACCATTGGGAGTTTCAGCCCCAAGGTGAGTTCTCTTAAATCCTTTATGGTTTTACACTAAAAATGTATACTTGGTTTACTTCTTTCTTTTCAAAATAAAGCCTCTCTACTAAGTGACATTAGCAGTTCTATGAGAAGTTAGTGGAGTGTTTAATTAACCTTCACCCTACTAGACCATAGCCCTGCTTTTTAGCAACAGGGGTTCCGCCTTCAAAATAGATTCTTTCATAGAGCCCAAACTAGAATGTAATTTCATTTCTTGAGCAGTGGTAAATGCAAACGGGATTCACTGGCATTCAGATAAAATGGTGGCTGAATTCATAATAAAAACCTTGAGAGGGTTCCATCTCAGCTAATCCTTCATTTCTTCCAGAAATAAATTCCAGTATGTTACCTCCTCCATCACAGTGCTCTTTCACACAGCCTGCCTGTCTGGCAGCAGAGAAATGTCAGAAATGGAGCAGTGTTGAAATTCCCACCAGAACAGTGTTATCACATTTTAATATGAGCCTCACTGCAGCCTCAGTGCTTCTAATTGCTTTCACACCATTGTTTTCCTGGTTTTGCTTGATGAACCCAGCATCTGGCATGATTCTAAAAAGTACGACAGACAGCTGTGTGCAAAATTAAAAAAAAAAGTGGGGAAGGATTAGAACACATTTTTAAAAGGTTCAAAATTGGGATATTTTCCTTCAGATAGTTTGAAGGAGTGTCTTTAAAATATTTATGTTCCTTCTTTTTAACATTTTAGTTGAGAATGACAGAAACATTGAGTATTAATTATTTTTATTATAAATGGAATATTTTTATTTTCTCAAAGAATCACAAGGACTTATAGACAAAACTTGTTTGTGAGCTATTTTGCTCTATGATTTCTTAATACTATTAATGCATCCAGGGTCAGTGATCATTTCTGTTGTTGTTCTGGGCTATGCAGTCAGTACTAATCATAAGGACTGTATAGGACAGTGTAGAGCTGCTCCACAGGTTTCCGCTAGTGAAATCTCTATAGGAGCAGATAATTTCTTTCAAGGAGGGCTGATGGGAAAATTAAAATTGAGACTGAGAATACTAGTTCTGTTAAAAATGTTTGTTTCCTAGCTCACACTTTATGTATTTCATATGTGTAGACAACTTTCTTTAAAAGTCAACCTTAGGAAAAGGGAAGTCTTATAGTTTTAGAACTTTTTTTCTTTTTTTTTTTTTTAGTTTTAGAACTTTTGAATCTTGTAAATGTAAGTCAGAGTATTTCTAATACTTTTTATAATGTATTGTGGTGTTACTGAGTATCTTACTATTCTAAATTATTTTTGGCTAACACATAGATTAAATGGTAGAGAATTATATGCCGTACTTCACAAAATGTGGAATGTTATTATTCAGGGATGAGCCTTGTAGTTGAAAGTTTAAACAGATGCTAACCTAAAAACACAAAAGGTAGAGCATGAATATGTAAACTGGCAGAAATGAGTGGAACTGTGAGGGTAAAATTAATTACTTAAAGGAGAAATAAGGAATTAGTGTCAGACAGGAGATACCAATAATGCATTGAGAAAAGCATTTTGGAATTTCACACAAGAGACACTATCAGGCTAAAAAAGACAAAGGACTTATCTTACCAGATTCTTATGATAGTTGCATTGTAGTAATTTTCCAAAACAGGAAAAACCTACCATACATTTGGTCTTAGATGGCAAAAAGGTAGTGCCACCAAAGAAGAGCAAAACAAAAAATAGTTTACCGTGCTCGCTTCAGCAGCACATATACTAAAATTGGAACGATACAGAGAAGATTAGCATGGCCCCTGCGCAAGGATGACACGCAAATTCGTGAAGCGTTCCATATTTTCGACCCTGAAATGAACCAGTCTGTAACGAAGGCTAACTCCTAACTCCTTTCACCTACAAATTTCGTCTTTGGATACAAAGCTAAGTGGATAGTCCTTAAGGAGGGACTGTTTAAAAAAAAAATAGTTTACCTAAAACAGAAAACTGTATTTACTTCTTTTACAATGATTGAATGTGCTTAGCAAAATCTTTACTCCTTTGAAAGTAAGTGTAATGAAAGATCAAAAAGTAAAATCTATATTCACTGCTTCTTGCAGCTAATCTTGTTCATCTTCCTTTTTTCGTGGTTTTGTTTTGTTTTGTGTTGTTGTTATGTACCATCAAGTTGGAGCTTACCCATAGGTGACCCTTCACTGGGTTTTCAGAGGCAGTTGATTGCATGGGAGGGGGTTGCCCATCCTTCTCCCATGGGTAGCTGGTGGAATTCAAACCACATGTAATACGGGATAGCAGTGCAGCTTCTTGCCACTAGGCCACCAGAGCTTCCTAGGAAAAGATAGTGTCTTCTTTTGCCCTTTTGCTCAGATTTTAGGTGATTGTGTGTATCAGAAATTAGTGTGATGGTGGGTGGGAGTAGTGATTGGTCTAAATAAGGATCTGTGTGGAAATTCAAGATTATTAAATGGAATATATAGAAAACAATTGCAGAAGGATTTTTAAAACACTTAAAGAATAGTGTTTGGATTAAGATAGGACAGAAATAATGCCCTCAAACTTTGTTAGCATTTTTATCCATGGTCGGACTGTGTGTAGGGGGAAATGACAGGAATTTTATTAACTTTTACTTGTAATTACTTGTGTAATTACAGTGTATGTCAGTATATTTGAACTAAAAGTCTGATGATTGAAAAGAAACAAGTCCTTAATTGTGAAAGATCTCTTGTTAATAATTTCTTTAATAGCTAAGTCTTTTGTTGTAATACCTTACATGCTCTGCTGCTAACTAAAAAGTCAGAGGTTCAAACTCACCAGCTACTCCTCGGGAGAAACACAGGCTGTTACCTCCTGTAAAGATTTATAGCTTTGGAGACTCGATGGAGAGTCACTATGAGTTGCAACCGTAAAGGTGGCTATGGTAAAGACAGTCATGAGTTGGTACTGTGCAGTGAAGGAGTTCTTGTTAGGTGCCATCGAGTATGACTCAGAATGTCCCTATGAATTACAGATCTGACCCCTATCCTATGTTGTGTCACCTCATTAACTCTAACACAATCAAGCCTATTGCTGTAATCATTTAGTCCAACTCATTGAGAGTTTCCTTTCACTGACTCTCCATTTTTCCAAGCATGATGTACCTTTTTAATGTTTTTCTTTCCCCCCCCCAATTACAAAGTGTTATTCAGTTAACAGAACAAAAATTTTTTCTTATAAGCTGCATCAGACAACTGAAGATGGAACAAAAAAACCCATCCCCAAATATAACTCATTTGTGCTGTGCATCAACAAAAATCTGCTTTAAATTTCCATGTCAATTTACAGCCCACATATGTCCCAGGCAAGGTTCATGACTATTGAAAATACCACCAGGACAATGTTATCTAAAGACACATTCAGTAGTGTGTTAACTGTACAAAAAGACACTGTACAGTTTAGAAACAAATATTTTTTTTTGAAACAAATCTTATACAGACTTACAAGTCCATTTTTTTTTCTTTAAAAGAAGTAAGTTGTGTACAGGGGTGGAGTCAGTCTCAATGCTTTATAGACAAGGAGCGGGGAACTATACCACACCAACTTATTCATCATCTTCATCACCATCTTTATGCTCCTCTTCCTGCTCATCATCATCATCATCATAATCTCCTTCATCTTCCTCCAGCTTCTTGCTTTGGCAACTCCTTTTTTGGTTACATCAAGCTTGCCTTTAGCCCTGTATCAGTATCATTATATTAGCATCAGTATCCTTCTTGTAATTCTCCTTCAGCTTAGTGTCCTTCTTCAAGCAATAGCTTGTTTTTGGCAGCAGTATAATTCCACATCTCTCCCAGCTTCTTTGCAGCATCACCAATGGAAAGGCCAGGGTACTCACCTTTGATTTTGGAGCAATAACCAGAACAAAACTAGAAGACCAAAGGGAGCCTCTTGGGAGTGTTTGGCTCTTTGAACTTTTTTCTTTTTTTCTTGGGAATTTACAGGTTTTCATCTTTCTCTCTCTCAAAATGGGCCTTATCTGCCTTTACCATGTCTTCAAATTTACCTTCTCTTTAGCAGACACGGTCTTCTACCTCTCTGAGCACTCCTTAGAAAATTCTGAGAAGTTGACAAAAGCATCTGGGTACTTCTTATACTCCTCTCTGCAAGTTTAAAATCCATATGATGACATTTGCCTCTCGACTTCTTGGGAGCTTCTTTGCCCATGGTTAGTTATTTCTCTGTCTGGAACTCGATGTACTGTCATGGCTGGGAGAGTGGGAGCCAGACACATCCTCCTCACTCTCTCTGCTTAGTAACCTGCCTCTCTTCGTGGATAATATCTTTGATATCATCTCCAAAGTAATCTGGTCTTTGATCCTTAGTATTTAATGCCTCAAATCTTCAGGAAATGATTTTTTTAATTCAGACATGGTAGATTCAAGGTTGTATTTTGGTTCTTGTGAACTTATTTTAATATTCTTCAGCTTCAGTTTGAGCTTTCACATGAAAAATTGATATGTGCCACAGTAAGAACCTAGTCTGGTTTTGAATGCTGATATTAAGCTTCTCCAAAGATTTTTCAACAAATATAGTCAGTCTGATTCTTGTGTAGTCCATCAGATGTGGCCCTGTGTTTTTTAAAAAAGGTATTTACTATGAATAAATCATTGAATATACAAATTGTTATTTCTTGTCCAGCCTCATTTCTGTCACCCAGACTGTACTTTCTGATTACCATCCATCTTCATTGTTTCCAACTTTTGCATTCTCATCACCAATAATTATTAATGCATGTTGGTTGCTTGTTTTGTCCATTTCAGTCTGCAGAAATTGGTAGAAATTCTGAATTTCCCCCTCTTTTGCCTTACTTGTTGGTGTATATATTCTAATAATAGTTGTATTATCTTCCTTGTGTGTGTATGAATAGTAACACTTAAAGAAAGAGGAGAGAATAAATAATTCAGACTTAGAGAAGGATAATCAAGCAAGGATTCCTTTATACAATGTCCCATTTAATTCCAGATTCACTATTCCAGAGAACTGA